CATCTTTTATATGTCATTTAAAAAATTGGTATTTTGTTGTGTTTTGGGGCATTAAATTAAATTTTTCACTAAATGTTGGGGTTTAATAAGGAGTTGCGCTAATATTGCGCAACATAAAAATTTGCAACTACCACCATTTTATTCTATAGGGTCTTGGCATTCAGAAAATATATAATGTTGGGGGGGTTTTAAGTCATTTTCAGGCCTAAAATGTGGAATATAACATGGGTGCAAAAAATGGAAAAAGGGACTCAGTCATGAAGGGGTTAAAAGACAGCATATAATATGTGTAGGTGCAATGAATGACTAAGATGGAAATTATGGTTAAACAAACACAGCAAAAATGGCAAAATTGGTCCGGTCCCAGGAACTAAAAAATGTTCTGAAGCTGTGTCACTAAGGGGCTAATAGAGTATGGTAATGCAAGAACCCCGGGCAGCTTTTTATTTGTGTGTTCCTTTTACAGATTGTCCATCACTTCCTGTCTGGTAAATTTGTTGTCACCAGGACATAAACAGAGTAAAAATGGAGCCTCAGATAGCAACTAAAACCAACAAAAGTTCTAATTTTCCCCACATCTTTCAAAAAATAAAGAATTTTTGTTTTGACATCCAAAAATAATTACTCTTTTTTAAAACGGCTACTGGATTGTAACTGTACAGCTCAGCAGTTAAAGCTAAGCAGCAAACGATTTGTAAAGAAACTCACCTTTAGAAAGTTTTGGCGATATGGTTTGTCCAACGGTGTATACGCTGCCAGGCCGAGGAGGCGTTTGGAAAAGGCCGGCTTGTTTTTGACTGTTATTAGGAGCTGAACTATTTGACATCATCATGATGTTGGGCTGTTTGGCTGTAACATTACTCGCAACACATGAACTTATAAAAAGGCTATTGGGGGGTGCAAAGCTTGAACCTGAGGTCGGCATCAGTTGTATAACACCGCCATCAGTGGTAGTAGAAGTCCCAGAGACAGCATAGACAGTACAATCTCCATTTGAAATATTATTGGTGTTCATTAAACCATCAGTAGATGTAGCCAGCAGCTGACACTGTTCTCCCACAACAGAAGGCTCCACAAAATCTCCAGATGAACTATTTTGTGACGGGCCAATCCTAATTTCTTTATTTTTCACTAAAGGTGACAAAATAATAGTTGGATAGTTTTCTTCATGAATGCTTGTTGCTGCATTATGTAATTCTGACTCTTCTGGAAGGTCTTCTGTAATTATGTCGAGCGTCACAATAGTAGAGGGATCTATAACTGCCTGGCTGCTACTAGGTACAGTGATATCAACGCTATAAGGCTCAATATCTGGTCCCAGGCTGTTCTGCCCATGGCATGCTGCAGGGGCAATAGTCACAGTAAGCTTTTGCAATTCGGCCTCCTTTTCAATAGCTGCTCCAGAGTCACTTTCATTCCCTTGCTTATCTTTTGCATCATGACAAAGATTATTCACATGACTTATTTTTGAGGTCTCAGCTGACTGATGATCCTTCTCATTTTGTGCACTAGGACAGTTCAGCGCTGGAGCCGAAGCTGAAATAAACAGGACACTATCCTGGGGAGCAACTGTTGATGGCTGTAAATCTGCTACGGTCTTATTAGACTCCTGTTGTGACTTGTCTGAAAGCTTCTCATTGGTTGTTCCCTCACTGGTGGACAGTTTTGTAAGTTCCTCATTTTCCGAGCTCCTTAAACACATATTTGTTAGTCCAGATTTCTCAGGATTTACTAAAGTCTGTGGTAAGACATCCTCTACAATGAAGCAGCAATCATCTGTGCCTTCATTTGTTGGAGAAATGATCTCCATTTCAACATCCTCCGGTTGTGTGTAGGAGGCCTCTAATACAGTCTGATGTGACTCCTTGCTGATCTGCATTACTGTGTCATCAGAACTCTCAATGGAGAGAACTAAATCAGAAGACTGTCTCTGGACTTTGGGACTCCCTGAAGTGGTGGTCTCATTTACACACGTTTGTTGCAAATTGCTGCTGCCATCTGCTTTTTCTTTCAGAGACGACTCTGCTTCAGACAGGTCATTTAAGATGGAGTTATCAGTCTCTCTTTCCCTTAGACAACCATCCATTTTATTTCCAGCCCGCTCTCTGCAATTAACTGCAAGAAGAGATTAGCCAACATGTTAGATAACAAATGATACGGTCGTATATATATATATAAAAGTATAAAAAAGTTTTAATTTCAAAAACACAATAGAAGCACTTGCATAAATAATAAATGCAGATCATTTTCAACAATGTTTCTAAACTATATTATGTAACAGCCAATGTTTATTCAAGAAACCGTCACTGTCTATTCTGGGCCTATTTTTATTATAGCCTGTCATTTTAATATATCCTACAAGATATAATACAAATGTATTTTTCCTCATTTATTGCATTATTTGTTTGTGGTTGAAGCTCAGCAAGTATTTCTGGCTTACCTACTGTGACCGAGTGGATACATTTCTCACACTCTAATTTGCCATTATATCAGCTCACCTATGAGCCTAAGGGATACACCTGCAAAGTTTGAGCTTGTATGGGATCATTGGACAAGATCGAACTGCACACTTCCCACTCAGATTTCTGATGAGGTAGTTATACATTGATCTGTTATTTTCTTTAACACCTTTTTTTCCCCTGTACCTGATTGTAGCAACCTTATATTCTTTGATGCCCCATTTGATAGACTTATGAAACAGAGAATTGTTCTGTATAATTGTTTATTTGATAGCAGTTTTGTTCTGTTCTATAAATTTAAATATAAACAAAAGTATCTCTAAAAAACATATATTTCTGGTGCATTGGCATTGGATCAGCAAATATATGACACATAGTAAGGAAATAAGGATTTCAAGAAATCATATTCTCAAAATGTATGTAAACTCAAAACCTATTTTCACCATCTTTGGCATCATGCTTCAATGGATTCATAATTTTTTGGGAATCTGTTGCAAAGTTTCTTATCTAGAGATCCCAGCAGTAACAGAACTTCCTGTTTCAGGCTGACAATGTTAAACTGCTGCCCCAAAATTAGCATTGCCAGCCTGCCATACATATCATTTCAGTTAGCCATTGGGCTGCCTATCAGGTATATAGAGGGAACTCATAGGCAGTTCAGTGGCCATGTGAAGGATCTCCAGGCAAGAAACGTCTGCACATAAAAATGGATTTGCTTAAGAAAACTGCATACATGTAAGGCACGTTTACATACACTTTAAATAAAGACATTTTGCTGCATTATATATTACATATTTACATAGTGTAATGCCTAAACAACACTCAGCACAGCACTTCTAATAATCAGCACACATTCAGTATCACTATGCATCATCCCGTGTCTTCCTCTGTCTCCAGTGAGAATCAGATTAATAGAAAACTACAATCACCAATTCTATTTCAGAAAAAGACAGACCAGACTGCAGAGGTGCAAAAATGATGGTACAAAAGGTGACTTATGTTTGTATCAAAATCTCTTCTCCACAAAACAAATCATACAGGAAACTATGATTGTTGTAAAAAAAACTACCTAGTACTTCTCTTGAAAGGGGCACTAATAAAAAAAAAAGAAGAAAAAAAAATACCGACCATCATCCAGTTTTTTACTCTTCTCACTGGCACTCGTCTTAGCGTCAACATTTTGAGATGAAGGGTCGCGAGCAGTACTTTTTGGTGCCTTGGATGAAACTGGAAAGTAATAATAGATTAACAGCAAAATCACTACAAAACATGCTTATAAGAAGCAAACCTCTATTAAGCACTTGAAGTCCGGGGTGTTAAACCCCCTTCCTGACCAGGCCATTTTTCAGTATTCAGCGCTGCGGTACTTAGAATGACATTTATTCCGTCATGCAACGCTGTACTGAAATAAATTTTATACCATTTTTTGGGGACAGATACAGCTTTCTTTCTGTGGTATTTAAATTACAATATTAAGGAAAAATCACAAAACATTTTGGGGGGGGGGGAAAAAAACAGTTTCCCCTATATTAAATTATGGAACATTTATTATTACCCAATTTTTGGGTAAAATATAAAAGACGGGGTCACGTCGGGTAAATAGTAGAAAGGTATCATGGCACACTCACAAACCAGCATGTAAAACAACTTGGTCTCACCACTAAGGTTAATAACAGAGGTTTGGATACACGTCTTCTGCAGAAAATGTGAAAGCCGCAGAGCCGCGCCAAGGCACCTCTTATAGTGCGGTCCTAACTCTAAACTATGAGAGTCTCCATCTTGGAGCACATGGGGGCAGAAGATTTCAAATTGGGTGCAGGTTTGTCAGGAGGAAGCCCAACCTCCTTAAAAGGCACAGGGACACACAAGGGATCCCGCACATCCCAAAGGCAGCTGTTTTGCTTGACGTCGGGTAAATAGACACTAAACATGCCAAGCCTTAAAATTGCCTGTACCCACGAAACCGCAAAACACTACAATACCCCAAATTGGCCATAGGCAACACTTTAAAAGCTTTTATCGCTCATCAGTTTAGTGTTGTCAATGATTAATGGCCCTAGAATTATTGCTTGCACTCCGATATTCGCAGTTATATGTAACATGTGCTGCGCAATTGTCGTTTTCGGGCCTTGGCACACCCGACGCGTATTTATATGTGCGTGTATGTGGGGGTGGGGGAGGTAACTTAATGTTACGTTAATGTTATCACATAGGGGGCTAACAATCCCCAATATGTGTGGAACAATTGTCAATTACTTACGTATTAATAAGCTTAACTTAATTGCTATGACAAGGGGACAGATGACCTCCCTACGTGCTAGTATAATGCAGGTAATAGGCTCTCTTTAGGAGACATCAGGAATCTATTAGATCACTCTCATAAGGAAGTGATTGGACAGCTGACTGTTTAAGTGACCAAACCTGGTAGACTTAGGACATCTTGTGGTGAAAAATACTGGATAGGACAGCTCAGAATTGAAGGCATGTATGACAACCAGAGCGGATGATTGATTTAATGGGTACATTTAATAGGCAAAAATATAGCCCAGAGTTGGCCTTTAAAAAAATCCTAGTTTTGACCATCGGAGCGCCACATCATCATGGCTTTCCCCATATAGGAATAATACTTACCACAGGCAAACAGGTCATAGAGCTCCTGAAAGTCTGGGTCAAGTTCAGTCTGAACAAGGATATCCTGAATAGCCTCTTCACTCATGTGAATTTCTCCTCCCTGTTGAAAGATGACATACAAAACTAAGGGATAACCTCTTATGTCATCAAAGACATATTATTTGTCACAAATTAGAACTACACACATCTTTTGCCAAAAAGGTAAATTATAAAAGAAAAAACGCCGTAAAAACCTTTTTTTTGGATTCCACTGAGGAACACAGCAAGGCATATGCTGTCAGGTTATACTGCCACCTTCAGGAGAAATGGACAGTGACATAAAAAATAAATAATGCCGACCTGCCCAAGATAACACCTCCTGCACCCAGTATTCCTCAGTTTTCTAGCAAAGCAGTACCAAGTGCCTGACCACGAAGGGATTGGTTCCAGTGTCCCTTAATGGGCTCCAGGAAAAGGATTTTACAGTGATTACAAGAATGCTATTTTCTCTTTTGTGCCTTGAGGAACGCAGGAAGTCATATACTGTTGGAACATCAAAAAGCAGTCCAACTGAGGGGTGGGCAATAGTAAACAAAGTGCTAAAATGCCCACCAACAACAGAACTAGGGTCTGCCTGCAGCTCAAAGAGACACCGGAAGGATCTTACAATCAATGATGGCATTAGATGAAGTTTAAACATCCAATTGGTAAAACTTAGAAAACATGTGAAAGAGGACCAATTCGCAGCCTTGCAAATCTGGGAAACAGTAGCCTGATACCCAAAAGGCACTCACAGATCTGCGACCATAGGCTTGAATAATGGTCTGCCTGATCCAGTAAGAAATGGTGGAACAAGAAAGTTGGTTCACTTTTATGGGGCGACATAAGAAGGAGAAAGTCAGTCTTTCTTAAGGAAGTAGAGGCTGAGAAACAGATTTTTACAGCCATAACTACATCCAGGCAATGGGAGGAAATATAGTTACATAGTATTTTAGGTTGAATAAAGACATAAGTCCATCAAGTCCAACCTATTGTGTGTGTGGGAATAGGTCCATGAGTGTTCTCATTCTTAAGAGTACCTGTACCCTTGTACATTTCAGTCTCTCAGGAAGTCGTCCAAAAGCTTCTTGAATGATTCCACACTATTTGCTGAAATCACTGCTTGAGGCAGCGAGTTCCAGACCCTAACCGCGCGGACCGAGAAGAACCCCCTTGTGTTTGAATTTTTTTTCTACCAGTTTTAGGCGGTGTCCTCTAGTCTTTGTTACGGAATTAATCTCAAAGAGTTTGTTGCTAATGTTGCTATGACTATTGAACATTTTGTACATGAAAATCATGACCCCCTTAATCTACTTACTTCCAACGTAAACATGTTTAAATTTAGTAGCCGTGTCTCATAGCTCTGATCCTCCATCCCCTTTATGAGTTTGGTCGCCCTCTGCTGGACTTTCTCCAGTTCAAGGACATCCTTTCTGTGGACCGGTGCCCAAAACTGCACCGCATACTCCAGATATCCTTCTGATGAACTGAATTGGTGGTTTTTGAAGAGTCAAGAGAACCAAATTCAGATCCCAAGGAATCACAGAGGAGCCACATGAAAGATACCCTGCACAAAGGTCTTGATCAAAGAATGGGAAGCCAGCAGGAATGGGTTATAAGTAGGGCTGCAACTAATGATTATTTTCATAATCGATTAGTTGGCCGATTATTTTTTTGATCGGATAATTGACAACTATTCTCATTATTGATCGATGAGTTGGTTGCAGCCCTAGTTATACGTGCTCTATGACCAAGGATAAACTGCCATAGTGACTTGATTTTTTCTAATAGCCTTAAGGTGCCCACACAACTTACAATTATCTGCAGATTTTCTGTGGCCAGATGGACAAAGTGCAACAGATTGGCCCAGGTGGAGATTACTCCATCCACACAGTTAAGTGTAGATGGAGGAATCTGTTGCACCTTTTCCATCTGACCACAGAAAATCTGCAGATAATTGTAAGATGTATGGCCAGCTTTAGACAAGTCAGTTAAAGTTTGACAGATCAAGATTACAGGGAACACAAATTAGAGCACGCCTGCCAGAGTGAACAAGGCTCTAGAGAGGGCATCCAGCTGCTTGTTGGTGGGGGCCTTTAAAAATAGGTGCGTTCTCCACTGGCATGGTTGATAGTTTGTTGGGCTGGAATACTGCCAGATCCACAGAGGTGACAGACCACTTTTTAACATAAAGGAGGCAGTCAAGCCATACGGAGCTAGGAAAGACTAGCAGAGGAAAATATTCCCAGCTGCAAACATTGGTCAATTTAATAGGCATGCTGCAAGCAACACCGGAGATGTAAGTGGAGTGTGAGCTGTCACCCAGTACAGCGGGACAGGCCTGTGTGTCTAGAATCAGACGTACTGAGCCCACAAGGCAGAAAAGCAACATAGCTCAAGGTACGAGTCAACGCATCATGTACTAACAAACCTAACTGTTGGGGGCAGGTGTAGGGTTAGACAGCCTACGGTGATCAAGCTGGGCTGTAGTAGACCGAAGAACAGCATTCCACGTGGCTCTTGCAAGCCACAGCAGCAGTGGGAAGGTGACTCATCAATGATTGAAACCTGTGAAATGTTCAGTACAGCAGGGTTCGGGTACAGCACTCCACACTCAGGCTAAGGAAAGGCCAATACAGGTAGCTGCCATGTAGAGACCAGCTCAAGCAGTGATTTAACAGAAATCTTGCTTGAAGAGGAAAATAAAAAGGAAAAAAAACTAGAGCCGAAGAAAGAAGTCCATTCTCATAGGACAATAGAAAGAAATGGTGTACGCTGGGAGAGCAGAGGTTATCCTGGACTTGTCCAGTGTCTATTCATCCTGTAGGCGGCAGTAAAAGCTGACAGTATATGACTTCCTGTGTTCCTCAATGGTTGAGAAAGAAAAATCCATTTTGTCTGTACCAAATGCCTTTTTATACTGCCTGGCAAAAGTAGTGGCAACATCATTACTGTGCTACACATCACTTGTACAGATCCGCCAGCGGATAACTATAGGAGGGGGCAGATACAAGACCAGTTACACTGCAGGAGGGAGATGCAGTGACTAACAGTCTTTTTTACAGGAAGCAAACAGATGCAGAAGAAATACACAAAGCACACTGATATTCTAATAAAAATTCACATGTCTCTTGTATTTAGACAATATTTGCCTATATCAGAGTTCAGCTTTAACAAGCATAATTATTACCTGGAGGCCGAGAATTTCGTCAATGGAGGGATCTTGTTCAGCAGCTGTGCCATCACCTTGTTTGGAGGTCTGTGCAGCAGAATCACTTTGATAAAAAAAATACAATAAAGGACCAGATTATGTATTGAAAAACAACACATACATGTAAAAAACTTACCGGAAGGTTTCTATAACAAACTATACAAATTAGGGATGCACTGATACCACTTACGACCGAGTACCGATACTTTTGCTCAAGTACTCGCCGATACCAATTACCGATACTTTTTCTTAAAGGGACAGGTCACATTTTTTCTAAAGCAATACAAACTAATGATTTAAGGTCAGTTTCTTAATATTACGATTCATGAGATGACGAGGGAGCATGACGCCGCCTTTCCGGCCAATCAGAATGCCGGCGCTGCGTCATTACACGGCGCCCGGCTTCCGGATTTGCTACCTTCCTGACCAATCGGGAAGCCAGGCAGAGCGTCATTAAACGCTACCCGGCTTCCTGATTGGCCGGGAAATTGGCTCCATGCTCTCTCATCACAAGTGACGAGAGAGCATGGAGCGTTTCCCGGCCAATCAGAAAACCGGGCAGCGTGTAATGATGCATAGCCCGGCTTCCTGATACAGGAAGTACTCGTGCTAGGTATCGGAGCATTTGGGCGAGTACGAGTACTCACCCAAATACTCGGTATCGGCACCGATACTAGTATCGGTGCATCCCTAATACAAATCTTTGTTAATTTCCTGCACATGTACTCTGTGTGGAAGCAGCTTCCCTTCCCAAAAGTATATATAATCTACACTGGGCAGATACAGCTCACATAGGTAAGCATCACCTTTAATTGGTTAATATAAACACACGCGCACCTCTTACCTTGCAAGGATCTTATTAATGTTTTCTGCTAACTTCTCTTGAAGACATTTGTTACTCAAGATCTTTTCCCGGGCATTTTCTATAACCAGTTGCTGGAAAACAGATGATTTTAGTTGCAAACTTCCTCATTTCTAGTTATTATTAGTCCCAAGTGGTTTCATTACTTCCTCAGTACAAATTGCTATTCTTTATTATTCATACATATAAACACAAACACACCTTAAGTACCCATGTACTTACTGGAAAGTCATCCTCAATAAGGCCTTGAATGGAATCAATGTCTGCTGCCATGTCTCTTTCTGCTACTGAGCCGCTTATCGGTGCCATTCTTCTTCTCCTCTGAGTGTCTCTGTAACAGTACAAAGAGTTGATAATTGTACATAGCTAAAAAGAAAACACACCAAAACACAGATAGTGTAAACAAAATAAACTCACGGTTTGCGTCTCATTGGAGATGAAGTGGCTGTATTTGGCAGCTTTTTTGGGGTTAAAGTTACAGAAGTAGTCGGAGTAGTTACCACAACTATAAGAAAAATACCACGGTCGTAAACAATGAAGAGATCTGGGCCTCTTCCAAATAAGTAAAACAATAAACATTAATAAATATCTAACACCTTAATCTGAATGCCAATGTCTCCCACAACAACCAACACACACCAATTTAGCAGGCCATGCAAATGGATGAAAATAAGAGGCGACAACTTCAACTGAGGCAATGCCCAAACCATGTCATACAGACAGTCTATAGTTCAGTTTTAAAAGGGCTTTACAGAATGCATACAGGTGTTTAGATTCTTCATCATTAAAAGAATTACATTAAATAAACCTTTCATGAAAGAAATACTGAGGCTGCCATCACTGACATCCTTTTACAAATATGCCCAGTATTTGCAACCACTCTGCCTCCCTGCGTAACAGATACAATATATCTTATACATAGGAGAATCACATTACTTTCAGTAGGTTAGCTGACTTACAGCTGGAGATGTGGAAAGGGAGAGTTATAAAACTCCTTTTCCAATTGGTGAGTGAGATTATGTTTCAGATTGGTGGTTCAAGAGGGAATGAATTGCAAATAAGGTTAGACCAAGAGATATTAATGGATTATGAGAAATCTGAATGGCTTTTAATTCATAAGAGAAAAGGTCTAATATAGATCTATGTTAACAGACTTTGGTCAGTGAATACAGTTGTACAACACAGATTAAATAAAAATACTCACTGCTGCTGGTGGTAAGGTTGCTGCTTGGCACAGCAGATGACCCATTGGCTGACATGCTACTGATTGATTGTGAAGTACCTGGGGTATTTATAGGGCAAAGGATATATTGTGTTGCTAGTACAGGCGTAGAGATCTGATGTGCCACAGGATGTAACAACGGTGAACCTGAAACAGCCAGAGGGGAGGTCAACATTTTCTGACGTACTCGTTCATTAATCCCTTTTCTCGTACGGGCTGTGAGGAGACAAAGTATAAGAAAAAAAAAATGAAAAAAAAAAAATAAAAATCATGGTAATTAGTTCACCAGAAAGCAGGTCCCATAATAAAGATGAGATATATACAGAGGGATACAAAAAAATGTATACACACTTCAACAGTTGTTATCTATACCCTTTTTTAAACCTGTACTGAATTATGGCAGCAATGTGTAGAAATTGGTTTCCTCTAAAGATATCAGTAGTTGCACCATTGCTGTTTTTTTTACTTAGCTGATTGACCAAAATGAGCAGTTAACCCCTGCATAATGGGGGGAGTCCCACTGCAAGGATTCATTTTTGATTGCCTGGAGTACTTTAAAAACTATTGATTGCAATGGTACCCTTAGTTAAAACATTTATAGTCTATTGATCTGTGCCTTTCCCTTGACTTCTAGGCTGTGCTTTGCAGTGCGTGGGCAGCATACAGTTTGATCTGAGCTCAATGTGTTCTAAAGTTACCGGTGATCAGGTAAAACATATCACATATCTGCCTTTAGCTATGGCAGATACCAATGAATCCTGCATTCAACGGATCATTATTCAAAGCGCTGTCCGTTTCCATTTACTTGGAAAATGTGGTAAATGACCAGAGGGTACCGCATCTCAGACATAATATTTAAGTCCTAAACACAAGGACGGATTTTTTTGGTACCCAAACGACCAACTAAAATGTTAGTATCTCAATTTATTACAAAACATTCAAATAAAAACATCCAAAACATCTCTTGTCCAATAAATATTTCTGTTACAGTTAGTATATCACCTCCCAGTGGCAAAAACCCCACTTTACAGTATATTTGTATTATTCACATCCATTAATATTCTGGATGTGCTTATTTAAGGAGGTATACAGAGGGATGGTGCTCAGTATTCTATGTATGTATGTAGTATGTGTGCTGTAATTCTTGTTTTTGCACGTAGGCGCACCCAAAGCGTATTTACGTTTATATGTGTGTGCACGTGGGGGTGGGGGACTTAAAACTTTTTTGGGTGTTTTTTTAATATGAGACTGTTTTTTTTTTAATTTTTAAACTTTTTTTTCTTTTACACTTAACTTGACTGTTATCACATAGGGGGCTAAAAGTCCCCTATGTGATAGCCAATATACACTGAGTGGCAAGATTGTTATGACCACCCCATCAGTACTTCGTTGGGCCACAAGATGACTTAGTTGGGCCGCCTCGTGACTCCACGAGATGTTGAAAGGTAATGTGAGGAATCTGACACTGCAGTGTTGCCCTTCTGTTGTCTTGTACCAGTCTTGCCACTCTCCATTCTCCGTACTCGCTCCATGGCTCCGAGCGCCAACAATCACCCCACGTTCAAAGGCTGTTAAATCACGTTGTTCACCCATATCTTCAGAAAAAAATCACTTCTACTGTCGTAGTAAACAACCTGCTTCCCCATTTATAATGGTCTGTCCCTCCAGCAACTTCAGTGCAAAATTATAGCTAATTTGCCTACAAACATCAGGTGGTCATAATAATCTGAACACTCAGTGTACAATGACAGGTCCTCTTTATGGAGACATCAGAGGTCTTTAAACTCCTTGGCGGTAATCCCGAGTGTGGCTTGGAGTTAATTTTTAGTACCATAAGCGGTAACCCCGAGCCACACTCGGGATTTCAGCGTAGCGTTACTTACCTTGTCCCTCGAGCCACGCTTTTCCTGCGGCCGATGCCGGCATCCGCCTTTCGGGTTCCGTCCCTTGCGAGCGTCCGCGTCGCAAGGGGGCGGAACCGGCGGGAATTGTAAAAGTAAAAATAACGAGAAAAAATAGAACAAAAAAAAAAGGGAAGAAAATAAATAAGACCGCCAGGGAGGTTAAGAACCATATTGTCACCTTGGGACCCCTAAAGAAGCTGATGAAGCAGAGATCTGCTTCACCAGCTTCTTCTCTGGCAGAGATCTGCTTCACCAGCTTCTTCTCTGGCTATAGCAGCCAGAGAAATGACAGCTAAAGGCGTAAGTGATGTAATACACATCACTTCTGCCTTTAGAGAGGAGAGATCAGTGGTGGGAGTATGCCGATCTCTCCTCCTCCTCAGTACTAGTAAGAGCTGTGCCAGTGTTCTTGATCCCGGGCCTACAAGGGGGACAGCGGTGCCAGGGATAACCAGCAGCAGCAGTGGGCGCGCACGGTGCATGATCACAACAGCAATCGGCCGAACGCTTGTATGTAACAGCCAGCAATGGCTGTTCAAATTCCCGGAGGGAAGCTGGTGGGGCGCCCGCTAGGGAAAACCCCCCCAAAAAACACGTACATGTACATCCATCCAATTTTTTACAATGGGCAGTAGGCAAGGGGTTAATTGGTTGTTTAGGTGCCTAAAAAGTCTGTCCTTGTGTTTAAGTCTTCCATTTTTCATTCTTACATATAGAAAGGATGTGTACTGTGCACTACATTCCCGTTTACACTTATTTGCTAACTTATCAGAGGAGAAAATATTTCAAAGGACTGTGGTATAGAGGGATGCAATATTTTTTAACTCACAGATTGCTGCCTATTTGACCAATATGGGTATTAAACAATTTTAAAGTGCTCACGTACCATTCTGATTAGTTTGAAATGCCGCAGACTCCTGCATGCACCTGGAAAACAAAAGAAAAACAGTTTACAATCAATTGTCAACTTCCACAATGCTCCATTAAAATGCTCATATAGTGGCACTATACTGCAACAGTTCATGTGCTGCCAGTCAGGTGTTCCCAATTTTTAAGTTCTACCCTTCATTACCTACAGATTTATGCAACCAATCTTCATCCTACGCACACAAAGAAAGGTGGCAACTGTTTCAAAACAAATTTAAATGCCATCACCCCTTCTCAAGAATTTGGCTTGGTTTTATGAAGAGGTCACTGAGGTGGTTGATGGGGACAGAGCTGACATTTCTCAAGCAGGTTGGGATTTTGAATCAGTTGAATGTAATTATATACACAGTCGCATGTTAATCTCCTAAACATACATACCAAAAACAGTGCTTGCCTGCGACTTTCCCTGTAGCTCTCCTGCGGCGATATGGACTGTGCATGCGCTGAACACATCCTCCTGCACGGCCGCTCGAGAAGCTGAGTTTTACGGACGGGAGCGAGCGGTACCGACATACGTTTTTACCGATTTGCCTTTAGCGTTTTATTTTTTTTTAAATGTTTTTGCATATATCTACTGCTTGCTAGCAGTAGATATACACTATATTGCCAAAAGTATTGGGACCCCTGCCTTTACACACACATGAACGTTAAAGGCATCCCAGTCTTAGTGCATAGGGTTCAATATTGAGTTGGCTCCGCCCTTTGCCGATATAACAGCTTCAACTCTTCTGGGAAGGATGTTCACAAGGTTTAGGAGTGTGTCTATGGGAACGTTTGACCATTCTTTCAGAAGTGGATTTACGAGGTCAGGTACTGATATTGGACGAGAAGGCCTGGCTCGCAGTCTCCGCTCTAATTCATCCCAAAGGTGTTCTATCTAGTTGAGGTCTGGACTGTGTGCAGGCGAGTAAAGTTCTTCCACCACTTTAATGTCACTTTAAGCAGCAAAACGTCAAACTGAAGCAAAGTAAAACAGTGGAAGTCACAACAGAATACAGACATCTGCTGGCAGGTCGGTGCTTAAACTGTATCTCCACTTTTGCAGCCAAATTGGCGTATTACCCATTTTATATTTGTTACATGTTCTCATTCACATCATTTAACATACAAAATAACAAAATTGATGCCTACTATTCTGAAAAGAAAAACATTTCTCTGTATTGAATTTCCCTCTGGAATGCATGGGGGAGCTAGGCAGGCTAATTTTAATATAATTAACACCTGCCTGTATTGTGCTGGCAGATCTTATCAAATGTAAAATAGATTTGAACACTCTCTTCCCTAAGCAAATGTGTTAAGATGTAGCAGCATTTTGTGTTAAATGAGAGGAAGCTCAGAATGTCCATTTTCTTTCCATGGAGCAATTCAGGATCTATGGCTCTAGTTTTTAGAAATTAAACATGCAAAAGGTTAGTGTAAAGCCCATAAATGATCATTTAAAACTGAAGTACTGATTTGCCTGGTCTTAGGTACAAGCTACACAATATATATTTAGTCACTCAAAAGCCTTTATTAAATTGCAGAAGTACTATAAAGGAGCAAAGGGCTCTCATTTGTGTACAACTCCAAGAAACTTTACTGAAGATCATTTACTTATCTCTGCTATATGGAAATCATAGAATATTCATGATAAAGTGCAGCACATTTACTAAAGGAAAAAGTATCCCTGTTAAATACTGTAATACATTCATACCTGATTTGAGACAGGGTGAGGTCTAATTTCTTCCACAGAGAGGACATCATGAATGGTAGATCTGCTTCATTCTCTAACAAAAGATAATAAGTTATTATAAAAGGTAGAAATAAAAGAATATATCTAAAAATATAACTACAGGCGCCACACATGAATGCAAGCGCTGACAGACACCATTATCAGAGGTATAATTACATATGTAACCACATTTGGATAGAGTAGGGAATAGTTAAACCCCTATCAGTTTTTTTTTTTAATCTGTATCCCATTGGGAAGATTTCCCTTTACCTCAAGATGTGTAGAGCAAAAGGAATGAAAATAAACCTCTCCAAAAATATTAAAATCCTAAGATAGTTGTCATCAGAACAGGTGTCACCATTGGAAGATTTCCCCCTATTCGTCTTCTGGTGACAACTTAGAATGTATGATTTTCCCTCACTTTCAGTGCTTACCAGGACAAAGGGGGAAACTGAAAATAACTAGAGGGGGCACAGAGCAGTTAAAACAGGGAGTCTAAGGCCTGGTTCCCACCTGGGCGTTTTACAGCGCGTTCCTACGCGCTGTAAAAACGCTCAACATGTGAAAACCAATAATTGCCTATGGGCATGGTTCCCACCTGGGCGTTTTACAGGAACGCGCTGAAAAACGCCCTACTCCCAAAGAAGTACAAGAGCTTCTTTGGGGCGTATTTGCCGCGCGTATCCATTAGGATACAGCCGGATAGCCCTCGGAAACGTGCTTTTGTTGCGCGCTTCTTTTACCGCAAATCGCAGTAAAAACGCATGGCACGAAACGCGCGGCAAACACGCATATTCCGTACGCCCAGGTGTGAACCCAGCCTAATAATTTCTTACTCTATTTGAAAAAAGAAAATAACAAATAAAAAAAGGAAGGAGGTTTTGGCTTAAAGCTGGCCATACACCTAGAGATTATCTGCAGATTTTCTATGGTCAGATGGAAAAAGTGCAACAGATTCCTCCATCTACGCTACACTGTGTGGATGGAGGAATCTCCCTCTGGGCCAAGCTTCAGTATCTTGCTAATCGGCCCCCGCTGCCTGTCAAAATACCTGAGCAATCTGATTGGATGCACGCATTGTTCAGGTATTATGAGAGTCAGCGGGGCCGACTAGCAAGATACTCAAGCTTGGCACAGCGGGAGATTCTTTCATCCACACAGTTTAGCGTAGATGGAGGAATCTGTTGCACTTTCTTAATCTGACCATAGAAAAGCTGTAAGTGATTGGCCAGCTTTAGATACACTTTAATTGAGCTTAAGGGCCAGTTCACACCACAAACTCCATGTTCCAGTGCATTCGGCCTCTGGAACGCAAGCCGGCCGGCTCCCTGAACTGCACTGAAGTCAATGGCACCGCAGCCACGCCCCCGTTCTGTAAAAATTGTGTTTGCAGTATTTTTGCAGATCGCACTAGATTGGAACGCAGACATTAATGTGCCTGCGTTCCAGGTGCGGCAGGGGGGAGTGTACGAATTAACATACACTATGAACCCAGAGGACTCCTAAAGAAACGTTTAAACAATATAACATAAATGGACTTAATCTTGTCAAAGCATCAAGCACTAAAACTGCAGGCAAAAAAAAAAAAAAAAAACTTGGTTCCAAAACATTTTAAAGTCTGCATTCTCTACTCACCCTTTGCTTTCATTGTTACGTATTCATTCAAGATTGTTATCAGGTTTTTTCCAAAGAGGGACTAGAAAACAAGAGAATGCACAAGAGAGATGCATGTTATTTGGTCAGAAATAACTAGTTAAAAATACACTTGGGCTTTGGCACAGCATTCACTATAGTACTCAAGAAGTACTCAAAACCCTGTTCTGATCAGATCATAATTTTTGAACATGGGTGTTTATGTTTTGTTGGCATGCATTAATGTACATCATTTCTAAAAGAATTTTGAATTGATTCATATAAAACACTGTTAAGGTGTCCAAACACTGTGCAATTTTCAGAGGATTCTTGAAGAACCAGACGAAATTCGGCCCCTTTGGCCGGCATCCTCGGACAGCTGATCAAAGGAGCCGGCCGGAAAATCTTTGTATGACCAGGATATTATGTCGAGGTATTCTGACAGCGGCCCTCTGCAAACAGAGGGGATTCCTCAATCGACACAGCTGTAGTGTTGATGGATGAATCTGCTCTATTTTTTTCGTTCAGCCCGCGGGTTGAATGAGAAAAATAGAGCAGAGTATGGCCAACCTTTTTTTGTTTTGTTTTGAGTAGGGTATGGAATGGACAAAAACCTGGATACATTTCTTTTTGTCATCAAAGTCCCTATTATGGAGCTTTCCCCAACAGTAACCACCAATCCATTAAATTAGAATCTAGTGTTCCAGATTAGGTACCAATGATGACAGTATCCAGGTGAAACCTATCTTATTTAAGCCTCAGACATATTGGGTCTGGTCTCATTATGTCAAGTTAAAGGCCCTAAAGGTGGCCATACACTGTACAACCATCGCAAGACCTTAGTCTTGCGATGGTTGTAAAGTACTTAAAAAAAACGTACGATCTGCCCATCTTGGACAAGCAGATCGTACTTGCGCTCATCGCAAGCCCGCCCCCTCGAGGGGCGGGCTTGCGATGACTGCAATGAGGGGTGGGCTTGCGAGGACGGCAAACGGGCAGTGTGCGTGTGCGCACACCGGCCCGTTCGTCAGTTTTCGAACAAGCAGGCCACTCACTCGCCGAGAATCGTACGATTCCCGGTGGGTTTTCTAGCCTGCTTGTTCGATGGAAGACGTGCGACCATACAGTAGAAACGGTCGCACGCCTTCCATACACTGTACGATTCTCGTACGATCACGGGATTTCCCGTGATTCTCGTACGAGAATCATACAGTGTATGGGCACCTTAAAGGTGGCCATACACTGTACAACCATCGCAAGACCCTAGTCTTGCGATGGTTGTAAAGTGATTAAAAAAACGTATGATCTGCCCATCTTGGACAGGCAGATCGTACTCTCGATCATCGCAAGCCCGCCCCCCTGAGGGGCGGGCTTACGATGACTGCAATGAGGGGCGGGCTTAAGATGACTGCAAACGGGCTGTGTGCGCGTGTGCACACCGGCCCGTTCGGCAGTTGTCGAACCAGCAGGCCACTAACTCGCCGAGAATCGTACAATTCCCGGCGGGTTTTCTAGCCTGCTGGTTTGACGGAAGATGTGCGACCGTACAGTAGAAACGGTCGCACGCCTTCCATACACTGCACGATTCTCGTACGGGATTTCCCGCGATTCTCGTACGAGAATCGTGCAGTGTATGGGCACCTTTAGAAAGAAGCTTGAGAATGGATTCGGGTCTGTCAAGACATAAAAAGTTTGCTTAATTATATCAAATAATTAGACTGCAAGGAAAACAATCTACAAGTGGCGTAGATATAAAACAACTGCTAGTTTGTCGAGGATTGGCTGGCCAAACCAATTCACCCGAAAATCCAAACCATTTGATGCTAAAACGAAGCCTCCAAGAGACCTAAAAATCATAAGATTCGTGGTTTGCTACCTCAGGGCCTGGGCAGCTTGCAGTGATCGAGTCAACTATGAATTGTGTATATCAGAGTGTGTTTGGTGAGAATGCAAGGCCATCTGTACAACAGTTGAACCAGAGATGGTGCTCCCAAAATGATAATGATCCGAAGCACAAAGCACAAGAAGATATGGAAATGTGGGGGGGGTATTTGAAATAAATGGCAGATCATCAGAATAACCCACAAACATCTTTCAACTAAAGGGATTTTGCTGTGGTCCAGTCGAGAGACTGGTGGGCAGTTATGCCAAATGCCCACAAGAAGTAATTTTAAATACCAGCTTCTGAGGCCAAGGGTAGTTTTCCACAGTACACCATTACATCTATTAATATTTTTGTTGAATAATGTACATTTTTTGAACATTGTAAAGGCAATTTTCCTTGTTGTTTTATTAAGTATATCACCTTTATCTTTAGCACCTAAAAGCTGCATTTGTGAGGATACATTTGAATTCTGAATCTGAAAACAAAGTACACAAGCCCTTAAAAAGTAACCAACACTAAAATACAAATACTCGGGCATGGGCGAACAGATACAGAACATATGAATACTTTTTTGAAGATTATAGGAATGAAATAGGAAAAACGGGAGCTAGGAAAACTGTTACACCAGACAGGAAGAGAGGGGAAATCCAAAATATGGGCAGAAAGAAAATAATCTGTGTTATTGAAATGTTCAACAGGACACAATGTGAAAGTAAATGTATCCAACGGAGCTCCGGATAGCGGAAAAGGGTTGACAGAGTTTCTAACTCTTCCCTGCTCAATAACGTTTTGTCTGAGCAGTCAAAAAAAACATTTTTGGAACTCAATTCTTTCCAAAATCGAAGGGTAAAATTTAATGACAATTTTGAATGACATTTGTCAAGCCTCTGATGGCATTATCGAATGTTCTTTTGAGATTTCTTAACTCCCGAGCCAGACTCGGGATTAACGCCAGGGAGGTTAAGGTGACACTAAACTCTAGTGTTAAAACTTGAAAAATAAATGTATTCAGGTACCCTAACTATTAACATAAACATGTTAATTGGTGCTGAAACTGTGCTCCCTTCTGGAGGGTGGCTACTTTTGTTCCCCATGGTCCCTGTGTGTTGCAAAGTGGCCACCGCTTCAAGCTCACTCCCATGATGGACTAGAATCTCATGTTTACTTTACATCACATAACAGGAGTGAGTTTGCAATGGTGACTACTTTACAACAAACAGGGGCTATAAGGCAAAAAATAGCCACCCTCCAGAAGGAAGGACAGTGTCAGCACCAATTCAGAGATGATTTGAGGATCTACAGTCGAGTGATACACAAATAAGATACATTTTTGTTAATAGTTAGGGTACTTTAATGCATTTTTAAGATTTCACTCCTGAGTTTAGTGTCACTTTAAGCTACATGGCAGTCAAGAGATAAAACACTATGGGGGGAATTTATCAAAACTGGAGCAGACAAAATCTGGCGCAGCTGTGCATGGCAACCAATCAGCTTCTCTCTGTCATTTTGAAATCTTAACTGAACAAACTGATTAGAGAAGCCGATTGGTTGCCATGCACAGCTACTCCAGATTATCTCTGCTCTAGCTTTGATAAATACCCCCCATAGTGTTTTATCTCTTGAATAAGAACCTGCCGCAGAGACTTTGCTGAAAAAGAGGCAGCCAGATTTGTGATACAACACTAGTCACAAATCAAACTACCTCTTTTTCAGCAAAGTCTTTGCGACAGGTTCTCAGTCCTGGTAAGCATAAGAATATGGACACCGGCACTCCAAATGCATCTATTTATTGATGGACACGCAACAAATCAAATACATTGCTTCTCAGTCCTGTGAATCTGTATTCCTGGGCAGCCAAGTGCTACAGTTTGAAAAGTTCTGAGACAGTTCTTATTACTAAAGATGTGACAGCTTTTAACTGTAAACAGACATATTTCTAAGAAATAGCCAGGGTCAGAGTCAGAGAATTGCAGAGTTACTTTATGAAGCTGAGGGAGGAAATTATGACCAATGCTGTAACTGCGTAGTAAACCTATTGCATTATCTGTCTCCTGCTCTTCTTTAGCCTTGCCGTGCGAAAGAATTGATAAATGCCCCCATAGCATATCTGAGATGATCGTAATAATGTTATATACCGTATGTCATGTGGGCTGTAGAATGTACAGGTTAGGATCAGACTAAAACTGGGTCAAGATTTTGTCCAATACAGTAAACAAAAACTTCAGATGCATTTAATACATTTGTAAAGTCTAGAAGACTGGCAAGCATTATATTGTGCTAGCTTTTACCAGAAGACATCCTGGGATGGCCCCTTCATCTGTGTGATGTTCTGCATATTCCTTGAGGTGGGGTGACTCTGTAATGAAGGCTTTGCACGTAGAGAACAGCTTTTCTTGCTGCAAGTAACCTAAAATCAGATAAAAAGTCTTCAGAGGCTGATTCTTACAGGCCAAGAATTTATAGGAATGAAAGAACCCATGACAGATCATAGTGAACAAAATAGAAATACCCTGAACACATTACTAGAACACTGTCAGATAAGAACACATCTTGAGGTATTACTGTACAGTTTTCTAAAAAGGAAATCTGGAGGTTATTTTCATTATTTAACACACATGGTATGCCTACTGTCATATTTTAACAACCTTTTGGTTGCACTGTCTGGCATACAGATATCGACCCAAGGAGAATATGTATGCCAGACAGTGCAACCAAAAAATCAATTACAGGATAAGCCAGCTTGTGAAAGTATTGGGTACAGAGAATTATTATGATCCTGAGCTGGCCTGTAGACTTGATGAGATTAAAAGCAGTGAAGCACAATTACAGTGTGTATATATAGAGATAGATAGATAGATAGATGTAAAAAGCATCTATGGCTGTGTCCATATACATTTACAGTTTACAAACTAAAAATAGAAATGTCTCAAAATACCTGAACAATGCCTGCATCCAATCAGATTGTTCAGGTATTCTGAGAGCCAGCAGGCCGACTAGCAAGATACTGAAGCTTGGTCCAGCGGGAGATTCCTCCATCCACACAGTTTAGCGTAGATGGAGGAATTTGTTGCACTTTTTCCGTCTGACCATAAAAACTCTGCTGATAATCTATAGGTGTATGGCCAGCTTAAGTTAAGAACTAGTTCACTAGGAATTCGTAGAGGAAAATGAATTGTTAAATGGCAAAGGCTGCTTGGTACAATCATCCTTTACTAACTGTCAGAAGTCTGACATCTCGATTATCACCAAAGTTTAACATTTTACATGCAATGTACAGACGCCCATATCATGTGTAGCGGGCTGCTTTTCCGTCACCCCTCCCCATCGTGGTTGGTCAGCACAGTGACCTGGCTGCACTAACCAATGAGGAGCGCTTCTTAGCACGGTTAAATACAGTTTTGGTTAAAATTATTTCTTGCATCACAACAAGCGGATTTCACTACCCTGTCCCGCCGTTTAAATACAACAGCCGGACGGGAAGAAGTTAAATATACTGGTATGTGGCAATGTCAAGGACCACAACTGACTGCCCCCTATATCTTGTTAGCCAACAGCCACTGACCTAGACCCACAATACAGTGCCCATAAACAAACGGAAGATTAAAGGCAGGCACACTTGAGAAGATACAAAGATGTGGAACCTAAACAGACTCCAACTGTACAGGCCTACATGCCCTAGTCTAAACCAAGGCTCTCAAAGTTTGGGCCATGGGCCAATATCAATGCGGCCTTCAGGCACACAGTCATGGACCACGTACCTGACACAGAAATGCAGACCGCATAGCTGCTTCTCGCGGTGCCGGTGCTCAGTGGGAGTCAGAGCACAGTATGCACTCTGACAGCCTTCAATGAGCACCGACCGAAAGGAAGGATTATTAAGGTCCGCACCAGCCAAGGGTGCAGACCATACTAATTGCCGACTGGACAACCAGGGAATGTGTCCCATCCCTGCAAAAAAATTTAAGCAGGTCAGGGGGCTCTTTGTTTTATTTCAAGAAGCTGTGTGTGTATTATTGTGTGTGTATATTTCTGTGGTGGGTGCATTATTGTGTATTATTGTGTGTGTGGAGTCCTCTAGGATTAAAATTAAAACTTGTGGGGAAAAAACTGCACACATATACACATGTATACATAGTGATATGACACACAGAGAAACAACACACATACCAACATCACTCAAAGAAATCCTTACAATTCACGCAAACCATCACAAAAGACTATACTGACACTGCATACAAAGGGACCATCACAAACACATATACTGACTTTATAAATACACACAGATATTAACACTGGTACCGTATAGTCACATTTTGTTTTGAAGTATGAGATTTGGCAAGTGGCCCACATGGGAGGAGAAAATCTGTCCAAGTGAATTGAGTTGGAGACCCCTGGTCTAAAGTAAACGTAAATCATCATAATTATTATTTTATGGCCCCTAATGCTGAAAATGCTGAAAATGCTAACGTTCTCCTGTAAAGCGACAGTTGCTAGAAGAAAACAAATCCAGGCAAGGAGTTAATTCTTCAAAGAATGGCATCCCTCCAGAAGGTGGTCTTCAGGGACAGGGCTCTACCACAAAGGCCCAACGCACCCTGCAACAACCACACACACACACACACACACACACACACACACACAGTATTAAGTGCCAAGGTGCATGCCTCAGGCTGGATCTAGTGCCCTAAGTATATTCCAGGTCATCCCCACATCTTCCTTCCAGTGAGGTCCAGGTAGGGTCCACCAAGGCACTGCCGAGGAGCAAACCAATCCATATAGCTTCTGTTAGGTGCTATACAGGTCCAGGACTGAGATCCATTGCGGTGGAGCACTGTCTCTGAAGTCCCCCTTTGGGAGACATGCCGTATATTGAAGAATTAAAGCGATATTAAAGTCAGATGGTTTTTAAGCCATTTCAAATGCTGATTGAACCACTCACAATGGACGCTTCTCATTTATGTTTAAGGGCCAGCTCACACCAGAACAGCGTGCGTCTGCACAGCTGCAATGCGTTTTACCACAATTTATGCGTTTTTTTTTGCTTAAAATGGGATTTCAGGTGTGTTCCAGTGCAATCCGATGCAGCTAAAATAGGGCAAGCAGTATTATTTCTGACTGCATTGGAACGGACTGCCCTGGTGTGGATAGAGCACCAGAAATGCTATAGGAAAGCATTGTGATGTATTTTGGTTGCAGCAGACAAACTCAACAGGCTGCATCACAACTGGATCTGGTGTGAACTAGCCCTAAAAGTTTTAGTTGGGTACACTAGCCGCATGTGGCTCTTTCATCCCTCTGCAGCGGCTCCCTGTCCAGGGGCGGAACTACTGCTGGGGACTTGGGGCCTGAGGCTGTGGGGGGGCCCAGTGAGGTCCGGGGGCACCCCCCCTGGTGGAATATGCGGCAGTGCAGGGTCCCCGCCGACTTTGTGAGTGGGGTGGAATGTGAGATTGCACTCAGAGTCGGATAGAAGTGACATTTCAGGACTGATCAGCTGTTCCAGCGCAGATCGGTTCGCCTGCACATACGATTTGCGATGCCGATCTTCCCTGGAACAGCTGTAAAAGCGTTGGAATGCTTCACCTATTGGCGGTCACACATTCCACCGCCGGAAAACTGGGCGGGATTGCATTGAAATGTGTGACCACGTCATCGGTCACACACTTTGATAGAACACCGCCATCAGGGGGGTACGGCCGGTACCCATGAGAGGGGTCTGGGCGGTCTCGGGGGCCTCTTACATGAGTATCAGCTGTACCAAGGGTGGTATGGCAGAGGTGACAGGGGAGGGGGTGGAGGAGGTCAGGCCCCAGCAGCAGGTAAGAGGAGTTGGGAGGAGGTACAGGGAAAGTGACCGCGGCGACCAGCTCACCTGACGACCTGCAGAGCCCACCATAGAGAGTCTCAGATGGGCTGTGCAGGATCTATGGTGTACTCTGCAGGGTCACTCTCAGGTGGGCTCTGCGGGGTCTCAGGTTAACCCAGAGTCCAGCACGTTACTAACCCCACATATACATGCTATTAATAGCATAAAGGTTAACAAAAAAAAACTATATATGACGTGTTATCTTCATTTTAGACGTCAAAGGGGTTTTGTGGCCCCTGGCGTTTTCTTTTCTGTGGGAAACGGGTCCAAATAGCTCTTTGAGTGTTTAAGGTTGCTGACCCCTGCTCTATCCAAAACTAAAATGTATCATTCATTAATTTCTACTTTACCATCCTGTGATGTACAATCAAGAAAATGTTTCAAAAAAGCTCAGCCTGGAACCAAAAGGATTTGTATTTACCTTCCCCACCACCAATCTTTGCTCTGTTGCAGAGCTACCCTTCAGCACCTGACACTTCCGGTAGTGTAAGATACTTGTTCCCCCGGCGTTCTCTGTGGGGCTATTCACTGGGCCCTGTGTTATTAGTGTGTCCTGTAATGATGACAGGCTAGGTGGAAGGAAGCAAAGCATGACAGGGGAGCAAGGTAAACCACACTCCCAGACGTGTCAGATGAAGGTTATTCTGTCACCACAGCTCTGCAACAGAGCGGGGATCAAAAAGAAAATGGCAGGACAGGTAAGTCCCCGTTTACGCCGTAGCATAGCAATGAAGCACATTTGCGGGTGTGTTTCCTGCACATCACCATTGAGATCAGTGGGTTCCTGGACAATGACAAACTAAGAAAAGTAGTGAATGTAGCAAATTTGTTCCCCACACGTTTGTGTGCGCTTCACCATGCAGGATAACCAAGCGGGTTATCAGCTGCATTTGGCATGCCGTTAACTAGTAATGGCACCCCAAGTGCGTTCCCCGTGTTTTACGCGTTTCATTAACACATTTTTTCCCCCCAACACGCGTTTATGGAACACAATGGTGTGAATAGGGACTTTTTTTTAAATGTTATCTGGAGAAGAGTCACCTTAAAACTTTATAACAGACAACACAAGGTAAATGGATACTAACAGCTGAAAGCAGCCTCCTGATAACTCAGTAATATTACAAGGAGACTGATCAATGTGCAAAAACTGTGACATTTCCAGGGACGAGTCCATACGACCTGAGCCTGACCCTGGGAACGAGGGCCAGCTACTGCTACAAGATATGAGCAGCTATGGCGGCCGGGAAACCCCATCAGGACAGTCACTCACCAAGTATTAGCCTGGCCACATCGGAAGGGAGCAGCATGGCTGTCCCGCTGTCATCCAGAGAGCAGCCGAAGCCCCAACAATCACAACACCCTCCGCCGCTCTCCCGCGCTGGATGGCGGTGCACTCTGTAATCCTTCCCCCTTCCACCTCAGCTGTGCTATTCAGTTCCGCATCTCTGCCACACAGGTCACGCAGCTCCAGTGCTGGGGAACTTCTGTGCAGTAATCCTCACAGATGTGTATGACATGGTGACATTCGGCAGAGTATGGGACAGATTAATTAGGAATAGGCTGACCATATATCCTGTATTGAATGGGACAGTACCGTTATTTCTTCACTTTTCCCCATCCTTTCAATTGTTTTAAAAAATAAATGTTGTCCTTTCTTCCTTCTTAGGAGTGCGCTCTGAATCTGTACGCCTCCTTAATGAGACCGGCTGGCCGGCCGCATTGATATAAATGTTAAGATGACCGCAACTGCGGCTGGCCTTAACGTCTACATCCATGCGGCCAGCCGGTCTCATTGAGGAAGTGCACAATAAGCATCGGCGGGGATTTTAGGGCAGCCATTTTACATGATCAACAGCAGAGCTTTTATCTCAGGGCAGTGCTCCAGAGTGTTAAGAAATCTCAAGATTAATGGCATAGTTCTCTGCTCCTCAGACTGACACAATGGAAGGATATGAGGCAGTATAGGAAGGAGGAAAGGTGCAGAACCGCATGAGTTCTGTCACTGAAGAATAATTATTGAGATGTGCATTTGGATTCGGACAAACTGCCAAATCAACAAATTTATGTCAATGTGGCAGTTCATCCGAATTACTATATCCGAATATACAAATTACTATATATTAGGGCATATACCCTGTTTCCCCGAAAATAAGACCTAGTACTCTTTTTGGAAATTGCTAAAATATAAGACCTACCCCGAAAATAAGACCTGCTTGTGACCATTCCCAGGGCCGGTGGTGGCATAAGGGGGAACTTGAAGACACGCGGGAGTGGCAGGAGAGACTCAGCGGTGCCAACGCAGCCAGCGCTAGAGGAAGAAAGGCGGCACCGTAGGGAGCAGAGCCGCATAAGCCGATGCCTCCTCTATAGCGCCGACTCCTGTCACAGACGCAGTGATACCAAATGCACTCCGCCTGTGAGGAATCGATAGTGAAAGTGCGCTTCGCTCATTCTGGCCAGCATTTGGTTACCAAATTGCTCTTGGAAAGGTACGGCACCCCTGATTGCCCTGAATACATGTAGACTGTTGTACATGAATAAGTGTGGATTGTTGTACATAAAAAAAAAAATAAGACCTACCCCGAAAATATGACCTAGTGTGTTTTTTTTTAGCCAAAAAAAATATAAGACTGTGTCTTATTTTCAGGGAAACACAGTAGTAATTCGTTGTATGGGCGTTGCCATCTTGGTATATCTGACGTCACCCTCTTAGGTGCACCAAGATGGCGCAATATGGCCGCAGCACTTTTTTTTTTAAATTATGCAGTTTCGGATTTCAGAGGCTCGTTGCCTCTGAATCCGAAACTGCATAATAATTCATTTTGTCCAAAACTTCACGCTGTACACATCTACTATATTGTCATAAAACTTTTGTTATCATCTTACTTTTGCAGCAATGTGGAAGATTAAAACCTTCCCGTTTTTGCCAACCCATTGTCCCGTTTTAGCTGAAGGAAATATTGTCAGCCTAATTAGGAAGTACTTTAATTTAAAGAATTAGTGTTTTTCCACTTTTGCAGCAAAATTTGTGAAAACCCCTCAGTGAGTTTGTTCTATGTTTCAACTCACGCAGCATACATTAAAATAATTTGTTTAAGCAATATTTACCTTTCTAGTTTTTTCTTTGGAGCAAGAGTATACATAGGACACTGTAAAATTATAAATTTGCGCTTATGGGTCTGAAGATTGATCAAAAGCAGCTTCGCTGTGGACCCTAAGGTCAAGAATGGTTGTAGTACTGAGTGTGCAGCGCTAGGGGTTAATGGCGGTTGGCTGAGGGACAGTTTTAGTTTTTTTTAAAGTGCATTAAATGAGAACCTAGGGGTTTAGGGCTTTTCCCCGTAGTTCTCCTTAGGGTAACAGGAGGACACAAACTAGCGTCCTCCCGTCACCCTAAGCTCAGTATACCGCGAGTTACAGCTCGCGGTATACTGAGACGCCGCAGTATACCGCGAGCTACAGCTCGCGGTATACTGAGACGCTGAAGCGGATCCCGACAATTATGTCTGGATCCGCCCAGCTGCGTGAGTGACAGCTGGCTTTGCCTATCTAGAGGCAGAGCCAACTATACCAGTCCCCTCCCCCGTCCGTTCCGCCAGTCAGCGCTGGCGGATCGGAGCGGGGAGGGGGGAATCCAGCCCCTCCCCTGTCACGGCAGAGAGCCGTGACAGGATCGAGAGGTGAGCGAACGCCGGTATGTGTTCGCTCACTTCCCGATCCACTGGCCCGACCTGTGACAGTCTCATTGTCACAGGTCGGCTAGAACTATGAGGTGAGTGAAAAGCACTTCATAGTTCTCCTTTAAGGGCGGCACCTGTCAGAATACAATGCAAACAGTGGGATTCCTCGATCGGCACGCTGATTGTGTTGATGGAGGAATTGCGTATTTTTCTTTTGTTCAGCCCACAGATTGAACAAAAGAAATTGACAGGTGTATGGCCAGCTTAACATTCTAGGAACAATTTCATGTTGCAATGAATTAACTCCCATGCGCATGTTCAGTGTTACGTCATCCCCCTCCAACCAGTCAAGATGGTAGAAGACCTGGTAGCTTATTTATTTATTTTTTATTGACCCATGCAGTGGTGCTACTTAACTGCTTGTTTAACTGCTTGCTAAGGCTGAAAATAACAAAGTTATATTAACCTGATCCTCCTAGCCGGTTGGCTTTGACAGTGGTCCCTCCTCTGCTGCAGAGATGGTATGTCCCTTATCATCGTCACGTCCTATACACTGTGTATATAACGTGATGACGCAGGAACCTTAGACCACTGCAGCAGATGGGGAGAGATACTCCAGTGACTGGTCTAAGGACTGGTTCACACCAGCCACAGTGCGCTCTGGCCCGATTGGTGCCAGAACTCACTGGATTGAATTCCGGCCGACTCATTTGTTTTGGGGCGGGAGGGGGCATGGCGGTACATTGAGGTCAATGGCACCGCAGCCACGCCTTCCAGCCGCAATGTGATCGCCCGCACTAGAACGCTTGGTACATCAGTGACTGCGTTCCGGTCCGGTGCAGTAAGAAAAAATGCTGCATGCACTATTTTTTCTGACTACACCGGACCGGAACGCAGTCACTGATGTGCCACACATTCCCGTGCGGGCGATCGGATTGCGGCCGGAGGGCATGTCTGTGGTGCCTCTGACTTCAATGCACCGCCACGCCCCCTCCCACCTCAAAACAAAGTGAGCCGGCCGGAATGCGATCCAGTGTGTTCCAGCACCAATCACTGAACACACTGGGTCTGGTGTGAACTAGCCCTAAGAACATGCTGACTCGTGGGATCCGGTAAGTGTAACTTTGTTATTTCAAGTCCTACACCAAAACAAGCACCTAAGGCTTGCAGTGCGAGGGTAGCCCTACTGCCAGGGTTACTAAAAAATGTACCTGGAGTTCTTTAAAAGTATCTGTTCTGGGAGACATCAAATTGGTGAGTAAAGTTTCTCTTTACATTGGAGGGTAAAGTTCTGTTTTAACACACAATGCAGAACCCAAGCCTTGAGATCTTTAATCTTTAGAACAGACAGGGTTCAAATCTAGTTACACAACTATAAACAATGTACCAGTACAGACAGGGTCAATTAGGTTAAACATTACATGGGAGGGGGAGCTAGGCAGGATTATGAAGCAAGTAAAAACAGTTAAACAGGTCAAAAACAATTGTTTTAAAATGTTATTCACATTATTCGATGTGAATGGGAACATGTAACAAATATAAAGTAGGTATTATCCCACTTTGGCTGATAAAGTGGAAATACACATAATAAACCCTGTCCATAGAAGTGCAGTTGTCACTACTGAAGGACATGTAAGGCGTATGGCGTGTAGCAATATACAATTTCAACCAGCTTTTGATCAGTAATACAATCAACAGTGGGTAACCAGTGTACGTGATTCTCTCACGGCTGATCTCTCCTCCTCTCTCTCTAAAGGCGGAAGCGTTGTGTATTATATCACTTCCGCCTTTAGCTGCCATTTCTCTGGCTGCTATAACCAGAGAAGAAGCTGGGGAAGCAGATCCCTACTTCATCAGCTTCTTTGGGGGTCCCTAGGTGACATTAGTGGTCCTAGAGACTACTGATGTCTCCATAAAGAGGACCTATCATTGTTTATTAGCTATCACATAGGGGGATTGATAGCCCCCCATGTGATAGCAATAAAGTTAAGTGTTAAAAAAAAAAAGTAAAAAAAAATTAAAGTCTCATATAAAAAAATAATTTAAGTCCCCCGCGTGAATGCACATATTGCAGTGAGTGTCGCAGCGAGAGCAATAATTTCAGGGCCATTCATCACTAATAACACTTAACTGATGAGCGGTAAAAGATTTTAAAGCATCGCCTATGGCCAATTTTAGGCATGGTAGTTTTTCGATTTCGATTTCGCAGGCGCACGCAATATAAGATTTGACATGTTTGGTGTCTATTTATACCACCGAAATAAAGCTTTATCTGTCCCAAAAAATTATATAAATTTCATTTCAGCACAGCGTTGCATGATGGTATAAATGTCAGTCAAAGTACTGCAGCGCTGAATACTGAAAAAGGGGGTTTAAAGTAGGTTTTAAAGTGACATTAAAGGCAAAAATGTTTTTGCCGCAACACAACGTTAATGTCAGCACTTACCTTGAATTATGTTTCTTAATCCGATCTTCTTCTTTCCTGTCCTTTTCAGCCTTCTCTCCAGCGGTGCGGCGAGTCTCCGATCCAGTGCTGACTCCTCTGTGATTGCTGGCACATCTTTTCCCATGGTGTCTGCATGCGGGTGCACGCGTCCATAGACTTACCTTGTGTCTCTCCTCGTGTCCCGGCCGAAAATGTGAACTGCGCATGCACCCGCCCCGAGATGCTTTGCGGCTGCCCGAGTGGTTTCACATTCTCGGGCGGGAGCGCGCAGGCAAG